CACAGTCTTTATCATCACTCCTGGTCTTGTCCCAGGAATCCATCAGATAAAGAGAACATTCTCTCAATAGTGATAAAGAAAATCTCAATTATTACATTAACATTGGGAAATGATCCCCCTGTTCATAAATATATTCAATAATATTAACTTTATTTAATAATACTCTTTATTTTTCTCGGGATGCAAAATAAAGCAATATAAGTGAATTTTTTTTCCTAAAATTTTATTCATCATCTTTTCGACTTGTAGTAACATAACCTCTGTTTAAATGCAACGCCTTAATTTTCTTTTTGTTTGTTGCTTTCTCATAAATAAAACAAATATCAAACCAAAGAATTATAGCAATTGTTAATATTAAGTCTCACACATAAAAGAAATGGAATTAGCATGTTCCACTAATTTTTTATAAGCAATAAAGATTGTTAAACTTGTGTGAAGAAAAAATTATATAATTTTATATAGGTACCTCCACGAGATCGCTAAAAAAAAGCATAGCATGAAGAAAAAGACGCCAAACTTGACGAAAACAAAATTTTATCGTCTAAATGTTTGTTATTATTAAGAAAGATCAAAGTATTTTGGGGGTATTTTTTTTTTTTTTTTTTTTTTCCATTTTATAAAAAAAATGGAAATCTCCCTTTGAAATTCTTTTAAATATCAATTATCATTTTTTCAAAACTTATTTTAAGAAAATCAGAAATTGTTTATTTAAAATATTTTGAACCAAGCTTAACTTGGCTTCTGTGCCGAAAAGATGTAATTTGAAAATAAAACAAAGCAGGTCATAAACTTTTGCATCACTTGACAGGTGATGAATGCCATATTGACGGATTCCGTGAGGATAATTTGTTCTACGGAAGGTGAAAAGTGAAATTATTTACATTTAAGTGGACAAATTATTTACCTCGTTATTTTTAAGAAAAACTTTCAGCGCACTAATTTTTTTTTTGTTTTGTACTTAGCTCTTTTCTTTTTAGCTATTATATGATGTCAGCTTTTCTGACGTCATCTTCTGCTTTTTAATTTTTCTTTCTCGGGGAAATTTTGGCCGACAATTTTCTCAGCAGATAGTCAAGCCGGACATCTTTCAACAGCCGACCTTAACCTCTGCTAGACACAGCTGGCAGGTCGTGGGACAAAGTCACGGTGTGTAACTTTTTTCCAAATCAGATAGTGTCGAATTATTTTCATTAGATTTAAATTAATTAGTACTAAGTCGAACATTCAAAGTAACATGCTATTTTACGTGGCAAACTAAGTTTACCACGGAGCCAGAAAACAAAGCGACCAAGAAAAAATTTCTGACTGAGTCGTCGTCGTCGTCTGCAGCTTCCAAATCCCAAAAAAGAGCAGCTACAAAAAAATTATCGTCTGTTTTACCATCAGACGCATATCGTCCAAAATATCAATACATCATCAAATATTTTATTACTGAAGTTATTGAAAAGATCTCTCTCTCTCTCTATATATATATATATATTCTAAATTTTTGTAAATAAAAATTTTCAAACTTGTTTCTTTTCAAAATATAAAGAATGAAAACTGAAAATAAAATGGTGGCTGTTCTTTATACCACAAGTGACAGCAGTAAAATAAACATGAGAAAATTAATGAGTGAGACTTACCATTCTGATTCGTTTTCAGATTATATGGAAAAATATTAACAGGTATGAAACTTAAGTCTCTAATAAAAAATACATTAATACTTTTTTAATTAATACTTTGCTAATCAAAATGATTACTTTCCTACATATTATGATCCCTAGTTAAAGAGCACTATTTATGGTCTATGGGGTTGTGAGTTCAATCTCCCAACCGAAATCGTTAGCTCCTATAAAACATCATTTTGAGCTTTCCCCCAGCTCAAAAATAATATGGCCAGGCATTAGTTATAAGTATGTGTCTAATTCTTGGGGTTCAATTTCTTAGGCAGTACTTCATAAGCATTGAAAGGGAACTTTGGTCTGTGTGTGGGAGAAGATAATTACCACTATCCACATACATGTAAAACCACATTAAATCGTCTCTGTCACATCGTGAGACTCAATAAATACCTAGTTAGTTAAATCTCAAGAAAGAGTACTGGCTAGGACAAAAAAAAAAACATTTTGTGATAGAGACTGGAGAACCGAGCGACCGGAAATTGTCATAAAATAACAAAATCGTGCATGCTCGTCGGGATTTCTCTTTACAGAATCTTAGTCAAATGTTTACTAAATGTGCTCCTGGTAGTAACTTCAACGAGTCTCGAAAATAAAATGGCAAATAAGAATCTCACTAATATGAATAAAATCGATTTGAGTCACAAAGATTTTTTTGTTAATTTCATTTTTAATGCTTTATAATGGTTATGACCGGGCCATCAGGAGCCCAGTGCACAAAACGAATCACAGCCTCTATAGAGTCAAATCACGGACAATTTCACATCGCTATTCTAAAATACACACGCGGATATTTCGTTAATCATTTCTACGTTTCTTCTCAGTAGGATTGCATTTTCTTAAAAGGATAATTCTTTCAGTTTCGTTATCTGAGACTTTTTCCGAAATAGCTGCTCGTTCGATAAATGGAAACCTTTGACTTGCTTAACGCACAGCCCGACCACGTCTTGCCGCACGAACGGGTTGTAAATAAGTCGGATTGTTCGCCTTTCAAATTCTTTAAGAGCTTCGTTGACCTTTTGAGCCGAGCCAGATATCGATATAACATTATATTTAGCCAGTCGCCTCTGGATGCGCGGTTGTAATGGAGGCAAAAACTTCGCGCTCAGCTTCAAACAATTTTTGTGACATCCCGAGACTTTCTTTCGACTATGCAGAACGTCTGCCTTTAAGACGAGAAAACCTCGATCAAGTTTTATATCAAAGATGATGTCGTTGTGTCTGTAATCTAGCATTTGTAAGTTCGAGATTAACCTCATTCCGTTGAAGGTCTGGGTCTGTAGACTGAGCATTGAACCCAATTTGGTGAGCTTTCTCAGCTGAGAGCTGCTATTGGTCACAATCCCCTGAATGTCGCCCTTTGCTCGAAAGAGGGCGCTTGTAGTACACAGACATAACCAGCGAAGTAAAGTAGCTTCACTGTCATTCAGCAAATGGGTGTCTATCACATCTGCACATTGTAGCATCACTTGTTTAGTTGTATCTGTAGCGGACATTTTCCAAATCACATTGGCCAACATCATCGGATAGTCAGATTGTTGTAATCTGTTGCGATAAGCAATGGCATAGCAGTTTCTGGACCAAGGCTTCACTGCTGAATTAGCGGGGATCAAAGAAGATTGCATGTCAGTTTGCCGTGGTAAGGGCTTAAGCCGACGATTGCGAAGATGAGCCCGTCGAATTTGCTTGGTGTTAATCTCCCTATTTTTATTACTACAACAGTGCACCCATATTCGTTTCATCTGAGTCCCGGTTTCAATGGCAACGAGGAACGGCGTAAACAAAATTACTTTATCAATGAACATTAAAAAGCAGTCCGGGACTTTTGGGTTGATTTGTCGTTTTGGCACGAATTTGATCTCTGAGAAAAGAGAAGCAGCCATTTTCAAAGCAAAACTTGAAATGCTGGTTACTGTTATTTTCCTGAAGACCATCCCTTGAATAAGAATAAATATGCCGATCAAAGATGAAGCGAGGACGATGTACGGTTTGCGGGCTTTACGCTCCACGGTCGTGCGACGAGAGACGAAACAGATAACCGAATCTAAAAGGATAACGGCCATAGAACAAATTACAGTGTGCTTCATACAGGCGAGGATGTCGCCGAGTAGAGAGTCGAGGTATTCAATTTTTTCACAGAGTTCCCAATTGGACATAGTGGCTGGATCAGGTAGTAGTGGAATGTTCATTTTCTCACACATGGGGTTTTTGAAAAGCCCCCAATAACGCAAGGCCCACAGTGCCAACAGTGGCAGAAGAAAGTGAAGAACAAACATGGTGTCTCCATCCATTGTGGCTGAAGAGAGATATTAATGAAATAAGGCGTTAACGATTTCAAAAGCCGATTTTCACTTGTCGCGTCTACATCATCAATTGTACGTCTCGAGCGTGCTGTTGCTTCGTAGCCTGATCAAAACAAAACGCAGTAAGCGACAGAAAAGTATAATAAAGACATATCATGATTGTAATATCTATCTATCTTTGGCGTTCGGAACTCAAGGAAAGATGTCGCGTTTTGTCGAAGCTCCAAAAAATTAACGGATTTTAAGTTTAACTTAAAAACGTAAATATTGCTTAAAAGTAATAATTTCAATTTGCAATTATTATTTTATTTCAATTAGTATATATATTATGATTATTATATTTATTTGGAGTTATATATGTATTGTTTATTATTATTTCTTTCAAACTTTTTCACATTTACCGGATTTTTCTTTATTAGTAATTATTTTTGCACAACTAATGTCTGTCTTATTTTTACTTTGTTTTTGCTTACCTAAAGCAACATGGCATTTTCTACACTCGTTCATTTTTTATTCATCGATAGCTTATTGTCAAAAAGGCAGTATAAATGATTTTATTATATATTATAAATAATGATTTCATAATCTCCGAGTATTTTAGGCTTAAATCCCGATTTAGATTTTCATTTTTTTGTTCCTGCCATCTTTTCTTGAAATTAAGAAACTTTTCGATATTTCTGTTTATTTATATACGACTCTTTCTTTGTCTTGCTTTCTAGTGATGTTGTTTACGTAACGTTTAATATATATAAAAAAAACTTAATTTCAAAAAAAAAAAATTTTTGAGATTCTAATTTACTTAATGTTTATATACGTATATTATATATGTTTCATAAGTAGTCATCACCGGGGGTGATAGTGGGGGGGTACGACTAAGTCCAGTTTCAAACCGGAGAATGATTGAAAACGGAAAACTGGCATCTCATAACCCGCTGCTTCTGGTAGATGGAGTTTGACAGTCCAGAAAAGCAGGTCCATCTAGAGGGAGGAAAACCTCCGCTGCTGCCTTGCTGTCATATCAAAACACAGAAAAGGCTATGGAAGTAAATCCAGACAGAAAACCCAGACTGCACCCCCGAAGACAGTTGGTCAGGAGTCAGCAACCTACGGCCTGCGTGAACCGAAGTCCAATGAGTTGACTCAAATCATTAGACTTACGAATCGAGGCGAGTCACGACCAGAGGTTGAAGTTAGACTCAGTTGGACCGCGCTAGTCCAGTTCGCCGCCAAAATTTACTTGAAAATATGGTCCAAGTCTAGGTCCAATCCCTCATTAGTAGCTTGACAGAAAACGCATTCACTCAGGCAATTTGGTGCTTCGGTATGCAACTAAAACTAAAGAGAACAGAAGAGGAAACAATTTTAGGTTCAATTCAAAATAATTCGATCATATGTTTGCTTTGCAAAGAATATTTTTTTGTCTTTCCATTCTTAAAATATTGTAAATAAATTTTATTGTAATTGGTCATGACTCGACTTACATCATTTTTTTATTTTAAAATTTGACTCGAAGTCTTGCGTGTTAGTGTCTGTGAGTGAACACAGAATATTGGGATTTTCCGGCCACGACTTTTGGTATGAATATTTTTGGTCGACCATATTGTAATATGAGAAACGAGGCTTTCGAATACAATAAAAGGTCTGCTGTTACATGCTTCCACAAATCTTCTTTTGATTCACCTTCTCCCCCAACCTAATGTTCACCATCAACCAGGTGTGAACGCTAATGACAGCAAAAACAATTAAAAGTGCGTCGTGTACACAGGGCTCAACACATCATTTCCGCTCACACAACACAACACAATAATAATAATATAGACGTTATTAGCCATAACTAACTGGTATTAAAAAATTTATAGGGACCTCTACTAATTTTCGATAGCTAAGGTTTAGAATGATTTTTTTTTTTAAATGAAAAAGCCTTCCTGAAGCTTTCAATTTAGCTTTAAATGAAAGCTAACGGATTAAATTGGCTATATCCGGTGAGCAAAATATTTTGGTATATTTAAAACAGAAATTATATTGATTGGACTAGACTTGCATTTTTTTTTCAGTAAAATCTATAACGTCAGCCATATTTTAGATATTTGTAAACAAAACTTAATTTTCCGTTTTAAAAATCTTGCAAAAATAAAATATTTCTGAAACGTTATTCGAGGAAAATTAGCAAATTTAAAGTTAAGACAATCTGATTTGAAACAAATATTACTTGAATGTTATATACAATCTTTTCCTAACCACGGGGTCTTGTTTTTCTGAGGTCTTATTGACCACCGAACGTGTTCATAGTTAAGTATGGTGTAGCAGACGACAAATTTCATTAAAGTTTTTTTTTTTTCCGTAAGGGGGAAACAACCCTTAAAACATGTGACCTTTTAAGAATAGATTTATCAGTTTGCACATCCATAATTTAAGAAGTTCTGCATCTATATACATGTATAAAAACAAATCGAAATTCTTTTAAAAATAGTCGGGGGTCTATAGATTGTGATGAGCTTTATGATTAGTCAATATAGTTTTACTTAATAACAATATTCCTTAAAAATTATCTCTTCGCTCTTGAACTTTAAAAGATTCAAAAACTTTATAAATTATTCAATTTTAAATTGTAAGAAATGAAAACAAATCTTGTAAAAAATTCATTTTTCATCGAAATTTTTTTTTTCTTCAGGCAGTATTGTCTATATTATTCATAAAAGCAATTAAAAGCTTCTATAATTAAATAATGTTTTAGTTTTATTGTGATGAGTTACTTCAACTTTTCAGATCTTGGAAGAATTTATTCAGTTAATTCCCATGAAGGAAAGCGTAATCGGGGCAGACATATTTGAAGCTTTGTTGAAAATCATTTTCGACGCTAATTGGCATCACAAATGATTGTGTCCCAGCAATGATAAGGCAAAAAAAAAAAAAAAGCTTTGTTGCACTACTGCAAGAATATATACAAATCCTTGGAATCACACATAAACTTGTTAAAATTCATTCCATTATCCATCAAGTGATATTGTGTGCCAAGTCTTTGAAATTTAAAAATGTTATGGATATCGTTTTGAAGGCATTGAATCCTATCTTGTGGCTTAAAAATCATCGTCAATTTAAACCGTTTCTGTTAGATCCTGAGGAAGAATATGGTGACCTTGTTTATTTCTTTAGCCGAGGATCAATGCTAAAAAAAAAGTCAAATGCTTTACACAAAGAGTTGGTGATATATCTTGAAAGTAAACGTGTGGATAGTGTGTTCACATTTTCGTGATTATCTTGAAACTTTGGCAATTATTGTGGATATTGCGACTCATTTAAATAAATGTACAATTAAAGAGGTAAAATTCAGCGCAAATGAAATATATAACCATATTGTGAACTTTGAAAAAAGATACAGTTGTAGGAACATCAACTTCGAAATAAAAATTATGCGCATTTTCCATCATTTCAAGGAAGGAAACCACAGGATTCAGAGATATTTGTAAATATAATCCAGGATCACGTTTTGCTGACTTTCGTCTGCAAGCAAATCAGTTTAAATTCTTTGCGCTACCATTTGAGGTGGAGACGGTATCAATGTTTTTAAATGGAATGTTTCATTGATTTATTTCTATACAAAATATTTTCTTCCAAGTGGGAATAATATCAACTTAGTGAATCATGCAAAAAAAGATGGCATCCTTGTTTGGAAGCAAACTAAGATCAATTTGAGAACAAGATTAACTGATAATCATCTTGATAATATTTTGCTTTTGGCATCAGCAAATTTGAAGCCTAATATTGAGAAGTTTTCAAGGAACAAAAAACATAAAGTTTCTCATTAAATTTTTGGCTGCTATGTATTTTGAAGATTTTTTTAAATAAATGATTCCAACAATGTCTTAAATTGAATAATGGATGCTTTTCGATTACTATATTCTTCTGTCGTTAATACAAAATATTTTTAAATAAATAGTTGTGATTAGATTTTAACTAACATATAATTATTTTAATTATTCTTTGATGGCCTTCGTCCGGTTCATTATCCGTCATTAATACTCAATTCGGCTCATGGAGGCAAAGAAGTTGTCGACCTCTGCAGTTGTTTGTTAACACTGAATAAATTTCTGGCAATTTCTGTTGCCAAGTGTCATCCCCAACAAATGTAATGTGACCTGTACCCCTTTAATCAGTACGCCTAAGACGATGTGAGAGTCTGGGAAGCACATTGTCCAAGCATGCGTCAGTCCAGTCTCACTCCCAAAGGCGCTAACCTTATCTCGCGAGATTAACGGATGCCTGCTTTCTTTCTTTGCTTTTTTTTTTTTAATGTAGAATTGTGTCAACAGTTTTACCGAGGCAATTTATTCATTGTCAATTCGTGGTCTTTAGTCACATTGATGATTTGGGGGTCACTTCGACATGGTGTAGTGTTTAAGCAAGCTTGTCTTGCTAGATCAATTACAATTGAAAAGTGAGTTCGATCCTCACTGGGTGCCCCATTCTTTCGGCCTTGTGCCACATCTAAGCTACGCTTAGAAAATCACCATATTGATAATTTGGAGAGTTGCCGTGAAAAGCAAGTAAAATTAAGATGAATACGAGTAAAAAGACTAATAATAGTTAAATGTCCCGGTTATATCTTAGTTATGACAAATGAGGGTGCCTCATTATCGTATGAGAATTCATTCGGATTTTCACCATACCTGTAGCCGTGTACTAGTGAATAAGTTTAGAATATGGTGTTACAGCGAATAAAAGCAAATTTAATCCGATTTATTCAGTAAATATACACGACCGATTTTTTCAGCATTCTTTGTTCCAGAACCGTGTCGAATTGTTCATTCTGCTTGGTCAGCAGAGGTCATAATAACTCATAGAATACACACCTGAATCACTGATGCACACCTCATAAAACATTAGGGAAGTGTTAGAAATTTTAAATTTAAAAAAAATCTCATGCTAAATTCTTTACTACATGTCTGAAGAAATTTATCACGTGCTAACCATACAACACACCATATAGG